ATGATGAGTGGTGCATGATGAGTGGTGTATGATGAGTGGTGTATGATAAGGGGTGTTTGATGAGTGGTGTATGATGAGTGGTGTATGATGAGTGGTGTATGATGAGCGGTGTATGATGAGTGAGTGGTGTATGATGAGTGGTGTATGATAAGTGGTGTATGATGAGTGGTGTATGATGAGCGGTGTATGATGAGTAAACTTCCTTTGGTTATATATATATATATCAAGTGGCTGCTTTCAATCTCTGCAGCTAGTCTCCAACCCCATTGCAACATGGCTTCTGACAACCGTTCCAGGAAGCATGGAGCAGCATCAGCCCCCTCCATGCTTCGTTCCAACCATCAAATTTCATGCATTGCGGTTCTGGCACGCGACAATCCTGCCGTTTCGGCCATGACTGACTGTCTGGCGCATGCATTGCGCACATTTTGGACACCCAAGACCATCATATAAGCCCTGCAAAGAACCCAAGCATCGGAGATGCTTTTGGGAAAAAGAGAACACCCCTAAAAACAAGTCCAGGCATTGAAAAGACCAGAGGGCGGCCCCGTTTCCGTTTTGACGACACAACTCCCTTCAAGTCGCGGCGAGGAGATGCTCCGACCTGCCTCCGTGCAAGTGCGCGTGGCCTGGGGCCCCGTTTTCTGCCTTGTGTGGTGTTGAAGCCTGTGCTGTGCAGGGTGCAAACGGCTCCAGAGGAGGTGGAGCTGTTCGGAGAAGATCCGAAATAGATCGCCCCAGCCATTCTTGCTTCAACCCGAGTGCGGCGCGGGGGGAACAACCCCCCCGGCCACTGCGCCGGTGGTTGGGTTCTGGGAGGGTTGTGAACGTCTCTCGAGGTCCCGGCAGCGTCCAGTTTCGGCTGTGTCTGTTGAAGACCTTGGTGACACAGAAATGCAGTTTGGACCTGGTCAGATATGGGTTACCCCTTCAAAATAGCATCTATATAGGACTTTGAACAGCAGGAGGAACTTAAGGATACCAAGACCTCTTCACAAATGCAACCCCACCTGATTTGTTTGGTAGATAGGTACTTAGGCCGCTGACAACGACAATGACCATTGGGCTGGCAATGACCATTGGAAGCAAAAGAACGTAAATAGGTGCAAGAAGCGACCCATCTATTTACTTTGCTGGTGGTCGCTGTGAAGAGAAGCATCTGCTCACATCTTGCCAGGTGAACTCAGGAGGAGCCACATCGCCCGGCAAGGCAGTGCCTTGGAATTCGAAGGTCATTGTGGGATGCAGAAAAGATGCCGCTAGATTCAGGGCTAGTAGCGATGCCCTTGTTCCTAGTAGTTTCTTGTTGCTAGTAGTAAGGCCATGAGTGCCCCTAGTAGCATCCTTGCTCCTAGTAGCGATGCCAGGAGCTCCTAGTAGCTTCTTGTTATTTGTAGATTCAGGGGCATCTTGCGGCATCCAACATCTTCCAACCATAGGGAGCCACGGAGCCACGGCTACCTCACTGAAAGGTCTTTTTGGTGCTTCTGGGCTGGGATTGCAAGAACTTAAAATGGTTCTCTTCTTTTGGGGCGAAGGATCTGGTTGCACTGTTCACGGATGTGGCCACGCATTGTTTGCTTTGAGTACCTCGTCGATTGGAGGGTCTTCAAACGAGAAGGATCCAGAAAAGGAGTACCCAATGACACCTAAGTCCTGAGCCGCTTTGTTTTTTTTCCAAGGCCCCTCTCGGTTCACTGCGACGTGACGCACTCAAGTGGTTTCTTCCTTCTCTTTCGGTAAGCCGAAAGGCGATACGCCGGTGACCTACTCCATACGCCCAGAAACCGCCAGCGCTCTAGGAGGTCCGGGTGGAAGGATCGGTGAGACCGGCTCGCAGCGCGACGGCCGGGGACCCGGACGGAGAGAAGCCAGAACAGCAATTGGTTCGGCACAAGAAGAGAAAAGAAAAAGGAAAGAAAACCTAATAGACATGGCCTCCAACTTACTTAGGCAATGGCCTCCAACCTACTTAGTAGCACTTGCAATTGGTTCTGCAAGCGGTTCTTTTCTAATCGACCGTCAGATGAACCACTGTGAAGCGGTCTTGAAAGGTTTGGAAGGGCAGGGGATAAGAGGACAACTGAACATACTGAATTTTACTTTAAATTTACTTTAATTCTAATAGCTTTTTGTTACTACTAGCGAGGCACTTGTTACTAGTAGTAACAAGAAGCTATTAGGCCAGGTGCTCTGTCAACAGAATTCCAGACTGGTCATCTTGATGTCCTTGATGTGCACTGGACGATGCAGAGAAGTCTTTCGGGGACTGGAGTGGACGAAGATGATCTTTGCAACGCCGCAGGTGGCCTCCAGCAGGACGTGGGGATGTGGCGGAGTTCGTGGCTGGTCACTTGTTGTGTCCTGGGAGACTGCTGTCATTCTGTCAGGCAGCAGTAGGAGTAGCAGTACCAGGAGCTAGGAGTAAATTGAGGAGATACTTAGTAGCCAAGTGCCCTTTAGTAAGCTAACGGGGGCAACAAATCTGTTTGGGTCCTTCACTTGTTGCCAACATGGAGAAGAGATTCCCTCGCTTAACCTCAACAAAGGCGTTCTTCTTTTTTGCCGTCTCTTATGCAAGAATGCTTTGTACCTACTAGCGATGGCCTCCACCCTAGTAACGATGCCCTTTGTTACTTGTAGCTTCTTGTTCCTAGTAGGTAGAAAGCCCTTCCAAGCATTTCCCGTGAAGCTGGGCGCCTTTGAGCCACGCCCCGCAGGAGTCCTTTGAGCCACGCTCCGCGGCCGGCGTCGCCGAGCGAGCCGCGGGTGGCCCTCACCGCGAGGACGGAGATGAGAGAAGACGAGAGAACGAAGAGAACGGAGACAGGTTCAACTAAGAGATGGTTTTTGAAGGAGATGGTTGGTGTTCTGTTTAATCGAGGTTGCATTCTTGATTCACAACTGACTTCCCCATGTGGATTGAACCTACGTTTATGAATCAAGAGTCTGCATTAACAGAGTTGAAAGGTTCCAAGAGCGATTTGTTGGGAGCCAAATGCCAAGATAGCCTCCACAAATCACGAAAGCTAGCTGTAGCTAGCTGGAGTCTGTTTTGTTTTAGCAAGGAGGGTGGGAGCCGAGGACCTGAGTGCAGATACCTGATTTATCAGGCTTTAACCCCCCCCCCAACTCCACCCTTCTCCTCAGTACCTGCTGCTGCTTGGTCTCTTGCTGCTTGCATGCTTGGTGCTGCTGATTGCCTTTGGCTGCTTGCTGGTTGCTGCTGACGTGTTGGGGCATGAGCGAAGAGTTCGGGGGGGGAAGCGGGTGATGAAGAGTTTGGTGATGTTTGGTGGAAGCATGGCAGTAGTTGAGTTTCCCCTTTGTGCATCCTATATTAACTATATTATTGTCACGCTGCCCCAACTCGTGTCATGGTACGGTTGATGCCATTCATGCGGTTCAGGGTTGCTGCACTTGTTGCAACGCAACACTGCTGCTGCTGCTGCCTTTGCTGCTGCTGCTGCTGCTGCTGCTGCTTGGTAGCTGCTCCTGCTGCTGCTGCTGCTGCGTGGTAGCTGGTGCTGCTGCTTGCTAGCTACTCCTGCTGCTGCTTGGTCGCTTCTGCTTGCTGCCCCTGCCGCTGCTGGTTACAGTTATTGTTGTTGTGGCTGTTGCTGCTGCTGCTGCTGCTGCTGCTGCGGCGGTTGCTGGGGTGGTTGTGTGTTGCCATGTGTTGGCTGTGTTGGGGTCGTATTGGGGGGGCGCTGTTGGCACTCTCCTTTTCCCTTGGCCATGGCATGTTGCGATTCCTCGGCCTGGCTTTTGCTGCCTAAAGAGCCCCAGCGTTGTGTATTTGCATAGCTTTCGCCACCCCCCTCTGGGCCACAAGTTGCATGTGCTTGCTCGAATTAGCACACATGATGGGATGATTTCCCATGAGGCATCGCGGGGGTTTGGTGGGAACTGTGCTCCAACCACATTAGATTCCCGCTCACTCCTCCCGTTTCAACATGCAACATGGTTTGCAACCATGTTCTTGCTCTTAAAAAGGAATAAGGAGTGCCATGATGCCGTGAGTCCTCCGAAAATGAATGCACTCCCCTAACCTCCTCTTCGGACACACCCCTGGGGCATTGCAATTGGATCCCTCTTGGAGTGGGTAACAAAAAGCTACTAGGGGCTCCTGGCCTTACTAGGAGCAAGTAGCTACTAGGAGCAAAGGGCATCGCTACTAGGA